CAGGACCGAAATAAATAACAAAGGGAAATAGGGCAACCTTGTCGTGTCCCTTTTTCAATTTTGAACTCTTCTGTAACCACATTATTAACTATCAGTTTTGCTTTCTGTTCTGAATATATCGCCTCAATCCCATTCTCAAAACCCCGTCCCACTCCCATCTCTTTTAAGTTTCCCATCATAAATTTCCAAGAAATGTTATCAAAGGCCTTCTCCGCATCTATAAAAATTAAAACAGCTTTTGTATTTATGTCAGTTTGGAGAAGTTCCAAAATATCAATAATGTTCCTTGTGTTAGCAAACAAATGTCTACCTGGGAGAAAACCGGCCTGGTCCTTGTGAATTACTTCATTTAAAACTTTTTAAATCTACTTGCCAAAATATCTGCAAATATTTTGTAATCCACATTTAAAAGGGAGATGGGACGGTAGTTCTTCAGTTGTGTCTTTTCAGTTTCTGACTTTGGTATCAATGTGATAAACGCTTCCTTCCACGAATCCGGTGCCCTCTCCCCTCCATAATTTCATTGCTGACCTCCATCAAAGGTTGTATCAAATAGTCTTTTAGTGTCTTGTAATACTTGGAGGTCAGCCCGTCTGGCCCTGGAGATTTGCCAAGTTGCATGTTCTGAATAGCTTGTTCAATCTCCTGTCATGTTATTTTAGAGTTCAGGATTGTCCTATTTTCTTGTGACAGTTTAGATAATCCATTTTTGCCAAAAATTGTTTAATCTCAACTTCGTCTTGCGGCCCTTGGGTATATAATTTTTAAAATATCTCTGGAAACACTTTCTAATGTCCACTGGATTCTGAATGTTTCTTCCATCAACCTCTAAATTTGTAACCGTGTTTAATCTTTGTCTTCTCTTCAACTGCCAGGATAGCAGTTTTCCACATTTATTCGCCGACTCAAACGTTTTTGTTTCATTAATTTGATCTTCCATTCAATTTCCTGATTTATCAATTTAGAATACTGTGTTTGATACAGTTTAATTTCTCTCAGAGTTGGCTGTGACTTTGGATTCACTCTTAATTTCTTCTCTAATTCTTTTATTTTATCCAAAATCTTGTCTTTTTTCTCATTTTGTGTTTTTTTCTTTACTACATTCTGTTGTATCAGGAATCCCCTCATGACAGCTTTGCTTGCGTCCCAGACGATTCTTTTTTCCACCGAATTGTTCATATTTATCTCAAAATAATCTTTCAAAACTTTTTGGGCCTTCTTGGTGATTTCCTGATCTCTAAACAAATTGTCATTCATCTTCCATCTAAAGGATCCAGTTGGTAGTAGTGTCATGTCCATCTTTACTGCGTTGTGGTCAGAACAGGTCTTTGGGCAGATTTCCACTTTTCTAACCCTAGGTGCCATGCCTCTAGAGATCCATATTTGGTCGATTCTTGTCCAGGTCAGTTGGGCTTCAGAAAAGAATGTTCCTTCTCTACCTAGTGGGTTCTTTGTTCTCCAAATGTCGATCAAGTCCATATTGTCAGTCATTTCAAAAAGGTTTTAGGTAGTCTGCCATCTTTTGTGATGTTTTGACTTTGCGACTTGTCCATGTTAGTTGACACGACCCCGTTCATGTCTCCCATCATTATGATGTTGTTGTAATCCAGATGATCCAGCAATGTCCCCTGCAACTTCTTGTAAAACTCCGATTTCCCTTCATTAGGCGCATAGATTCCTAATATCAGCAGTTTCTCTCCTTGATATTGTATCTCAATAGCCAAAATCCTTCCATGTTCATCTTTAAATAGAAATTTAGGTGACAGGCTCTCTTTTGCATATATCACCACTCCTCTCTTCTTCACTTTATCCGACGAAATAAATTCCTGGCCCAATCTTTTATTTATTAACACTTTTCTGTGGAGCCTCGTCACATGTGTTTCTTGTAAGCAAATAATGTCCAATTGTTCTTTTTTAATATATGAAATATTTTCTTCCTTTTCTCCGGAATATTGCAACCATTAATATTCCAGCTCAACAGTTGCAGAGACATCCTGGATCTATCTGGTTATTTCTCCTGGGGTGGTGTCTTCTCTTGATCTTCAAGTTCCCGAGGTGGAGGTATTGATGCTGGCTTTGCCTCAGGCCCGGAAGGTAGTTCAATTCCTTTATGTAGGTCCTCTCCGTGTGTAGCCAGAAATTTATCTCTCTCTTCCAATGTTCTAATTTTAACCTTTCTCGCTCTAAAGGTAAAAGATAATCCTTGGGGAAAATCCCACCTGAATGGAATTGCGTTGCTCCTTAATAGTTTAGCAAGTTCGGAATAGGCGGCTCTCAGGTCCAACAGTTGTCTTGGGATATCTTTATATATCTCAATTCTTCTATCCAAAACTTCCAGTGACTTTTCGTAATGTAGGCCCAAAATCTTATCCCTTTCCTCCTTCGATCTCAATGTAATCAAACAATCCCTGGGCCTCTCCTTCTTTATAAATCTTCCAAGTCTGAAAGCTGACACAATTTTAAAGTCCTTTTCTTCCAAATTCCAGAACTTGGAAAGTTCTTTGGTCAAAAACTCAGTTAGATTTCCTTCTTCTGCCTCTTGTAATGATCTAATCCTCAAATTATTCTCACGATTTCGCAGTTCTATCATAGAAAGATAAATCTGATGTTCCCCAACTTGTTTAGTGAGTGGTCTTACCTCTTGCTCTAAATTTTCCAATTTTTGTCTGGTATCCTCAGCCAATTTTCGGTTTTCTACTGAGGCCTCCGTCAACTGTCCAATTGCTTGTGTATTCTGTCCCACCTGTGTAGTTAATTTGTTTAGACAATCTGTATTTTTATCAATCTTTGCTGATTGCGCATCTACTTTCTTGTCCAAAGCTTCCAGTTTTTCAAAGATTTTTCTAGCACAGAAACAGATGCTCCTGAGGCCATATCTTCCAATTGTAACTGCTCTACTTCACCCTCTCCCTCTTTTGCCTGTGGCAAGGCAGCTTCTTCAAGTTGTACTTCTGAGGGCAAAGTAGGCACAGATGATCTACGTGTCTGCGAGGCTGAGGTTAGATTTGTTAGAGTTGTTTGTCTAACTCTTCCTCTTCTTCTTGTACCACTCATTCCAATGTTATCTATCAGTCAAGGTCACACTGAGTTTTTCCCACAGGAATAGAGAGGCCCAGAGCAAGCAGACAACAAGAGAATCGAAAGTAAATGTTTTTATAAAGTCACTGTTTTAATCCAATCCTCTAGAGGGAGCTTAAAATGTCTTTTCAGAGTCTGATTTAATGTCCCAGAACCTTCCAATATAAGTATTAAGCAGAGTTTAAAAGTAGTCACTTTGTTGCAGACAGTGCTTATTTGTCTCCAAAAAGAATGTTTCAAATTTGAAAGGTCTCAATACCCTCAGATTGTTGCAACTTCTAATATACAGTATCCAAGTCAAACACTGACAGCCCACTGTTACAGTGCTCAAGCAATCCTGACTCTGGGTTTCACCTTCCAATTTGTAATCCAATAAAAGGGGAAAGTCAAGTGCAAATAAAAGGTCCAAATCTTTAACTTGCTAATTTTACTTTAAATTGTAAGTTCCATAGATACTTGGCTGTGTAGAGTTTAAAATCTCTTTCTTTCAGCCTCCACTCCTCCACCTTAGTTGCTTTTTTTTCCAAGTTCAATGGCAGCGGAAGACGGACTTCCTGTTTCCACGTCTCTCCGCTTTCAGCCAAATTCAAGTCAATTTAAGCCTTCTCATTTAAAATTTGTAATTCCAAATGACTCAATCTTTACTCACGAGTAAGTTGTTTTCTTCCAAGTCCGAATTTTAACAGGAAAAGGGATCAGCGCTCACCGGCAGCAGCAGCGCGGCTTCACTCCGCTGACTGTGAAACGGCTCACAGCGCCGCAGCCCCCCTCCACGCTCCGGAGCCTCTTACGAGGCTCCTTCTGCAGTTGGAGGGCTGCTCTTGGCGCCCGCCGAGCCTCAGGACCCCAGGCTCTTGCCTTCTTTTGAGTCAGAGAATACATCAGCTCTCTTGGAGCCATACGGCAAAATAAAGTGAGGACCCTTTAACAAACAGGCAGCTCCTCTGGAGAGGGAAGGGTTACTACACAGGACAAGTCCAATCAACCTATGTAAACCTTCAGTTTGATCTAGGTGCTTGAGAGGACAACAGCTTGTAAAGCTGCCTCAGCAGAACTCTGGGAACTTTCCAAGGTCCTGCAGGTACTCTGGATTGCTGACTCAAGCCACAGATGGGGGCACTGTCTGACTTCCCACGTGGGCCTCGAGCTCTAACAGAATAGGGCGTTAATCTTACTGACCTCCCAGCAAAGACTGGGAGATCTGAGATCTTCCTAGTCCTCTGTGAAGTGTGGAGCTGCTCAAATAGCTGAAGGCAGCCAAATTCTCAATGACTGAATTCCTCAAATGTCCCTCATTTTAAAAGATGAGACTATAAATTTTTGACCCTTTCAACTTCTCTCCAGTGGGGAACCAGGCATTACATGCTGTTCTTTGTAACCCCCTTTTCTGATTTTTAATGGATGCTCAATCCTTGATCAAAATAACAGAAGGCAGTATTTGACATTTCCCCCATAAGTAGTTTCCCCCATCAAAATGGCAGCTTCCCCCCAGCTGCTTTTTCTTTCACCTGGAAAAAGTTGGTAGCCATTTTAAACAGAAAGGGGGCAGGATTTAAGGATCCCCGTTCCTACATGCCTTTCCTCCACTAACAGTATTCTCCTGAAACTGCTTTTTATTTAGGTACCCTGGGGGGGGGGTGGACATTTAGAAAATGTTGCACACGGAGAGAATGTTATACACAACTGTGTTTGGTTTTTAGTTTAGCCCTAAACTGGGGACCAGAACAGGTTTAGGGGGTTCAGAGGGAAGAGGGGGGGAAGTCCCATTGCATGAGCAGACCTCGTTCCCTGCATGCATACCCCACTTTGCACTACTCTGAACTCAATTCATAGTAACAAAAGCTTCACAAAATTATGAAGCAAGATTGCAGTGGAAGACTGAAAGTAACAGCTCAAATGTTGATATAATTAAGTGTTACAACATGTTGTGGACATACATAGTAAACAGCAGCTGGGCACTAACTGTCAGGAAGTCACAGGTTGGCACTATCTGGTAAATGTCCATGACCCACACTCACCAACACACCCAAGAACAATCTCAATAGCAGCAATGAATATATTGCCAGGGCAGCAGGGATATCCTCACAACAGAAGTGCTGCCTTGAATGAAAACATCTGGACTCCACATAACAAATAAGAAAAAAAAATCTGAATCTTAATTGCATGCACATCCACACAAGTCATTATGCAAAGAACCTAAAGCACAATGAACTGAAGCATAGGAATTTCCATCAGGCCCCATCTATTAGATGCTGCACATATCAAGAGCCAGTGGCCTGTTTTGCAATATGTCAAGCTCATTCTTCTGTGTACTTCCATTTTGCCCCAATCTAGTCATCTTTGGGGTTGGACAACACAGCTTGTTTCACATTATTAGCATCCAGTAATGCTTATCCAAACAGTATTTCAAGCTAACATACAATTTGGAATAAGGCTGCATTCCTTTGCTGACATTAATCTAAGTTAAAGTTTAAGTTCCAGCTGAATCCACTGGTTTTGGAACAATCTAGTTTGAAGGACATGCTGGACAGAGTACAGTGTGAACAGGCCAATTTGCTCAAATGCTTCTGAGAAGCATTTAATGGAGCCCCACTCCCCACTCCCCCAGTGCAACAGACCACCTAAAGCAAATAAATAACTTTTGGAACATAAATAGCAGCAGCAGCTGCTAGCGTTCTGTGCATGGTGCCAGTCCTCCCACAACAACCGCTACTACTACAGCTCACTTATTGTCTACGCCTCCCTCTCGCCTCGGGAAGAGAAAACCAACTCCCCCAATGCCTAAAAACTACAGCGCATTAATCCTTTTAAAAAATGAGTAAAGCACAGAAAAAATACAGCAATTGAAAACTTTAATTTTTTGAAAAAAAACACTGATGGAAAAGTTCAACAGAAGACAAATTAATGATCTTGCTGAACCAGGCTTGTTCTTTCTTCCACTGACTGCAATGAAAGTTTTGGATTTTATTTTTTTAAAGTTCTGTTAAGAATGGTCAAAAAATGACAATTAAATGTACTATTTAAAGGGCTAAAATCCAGATGATTTTGAAGGAAAGAAGTAGCGAATTTTTAGACAATTTTTAAGATACTTAATTAATTGGACTAGCCTGTTCTATTACCTAGACTAATGAGCAACACTAGCACTCAAGTTTGCTATAGACATTTTCAACTAGCTGATAGCAGGAAGCATTTTCTTGGGAAGATTGCAACCCAACGATCTAAGAAATGGAGCCAAATTTTGTCATATGCATTTCAGAAATTTTGTCATACATGTCTTCAGGTCTCCTGGTGTCAATGCTGCGATCCTGCCAATCAATCCCTTTAAAAACACAGATGCAACACACAAGTAAACAAGAATATATTCTTTATGCACAAAGCAGCATATGTCAGCTTACCCAGAACATCACACCTGGCTGGTGAGGCCATAAGTGGCAGCTATCCTGGGCCTAGAGCCCAGCATCCCAGGGCCAGGCCTACAGAGAAGCACAGCATCAAAGCAAGCCAATCAGCATATATCAAAGCAAGTGAATATAAACATATATGACCTCATCCTTGCAGCAATTACAAATTAGTTTGCGCTTAGCTTGACTAGCAAGATGGTGCTTGCAGGCCTTTCGGAACATTTCACCTTTGGTTCATCACAGTGTACCTGGAAGGTTGCCCATGTGGAAATGTGGCCCTCAAACTGAAACGGCAGAGTTGAAATGTGCTGCTAACTATCTACATTCCTGCCTGCGGCAAAGTAGTCTGCCCAGCTTCCATTCCTACTAATATGCAGCTGCTTCCCTTCATCCCTTCTTCTAAGCCTGGAAGGGCTGGAGGGACTCCGCAAGTAACCATGAGAGAATAGGCTGTGTGTGGGCTGGTTGTAGGGCTGCCATACATCCAGGATTCGGGCTGCAAAATGGCGTCCTGGAAGATTTGGAGGGTGACAACTTTGTCCAGTTTTTCACTTTGGGGAATATGGCCACCCTAGCTGGTTGCCAAGATGTGGCAGGCCTTATTTCCCACACAGCAGTCAAAGACCAGCTGGCAAGAGGGAATTAATAAGGAAGACAGAATACAGACCTTCTTGGCTAGTCTATCCTTGATTCCTGCTACAAGGTGGAAAGAGCTCTATGTAGTCCTGTTTGCATGTATTAATATTTGCTTCTAATATTCGCTTCCCAGCATGACTTATCTCCCAGAGCTTTAGTTTGAAACAAGAAATGGAAAGGCAAGGATGGTTTTTAAAAAGGGTTAAACAAATCATTGGAGGATATAGCGATGTTCTAGCTCTGCTGCCAGGCCCAGTATGCCTCTGAATACCAGTTGCTGGGGAGCACATGTGGGGAGGCTGCTGTTGCATTCAGGTCCTGCTTGTGGGATTCCCTTGGTAATCTGGTTGGCCACTATGAGAACAGAGTGCTGGACTAGATGGGCCTTTGGCATCATCCAGCGGGCATCTTATGTTCCTAAGAATACAGGACAAGAAGACTTCACAGCCACTTTGGAATAGCAGAGCTTGTGCGACACATATTCCAATTCAGGGAGAAATTATTTGGTTGGAGCTGACCCCTTGATGTGAATTACTTTTCCAGGAGATCTTCATGGGGAAGAGAAACTAACGTCACCCTAGCCTTGCTCAGTTCTTTATCACTCACATTGACTGCAAAACAGCAGCGACTAGCTATCGCATGTAAGCCTTCTGCCAATATTTCTTACGCAAATAGACTATGGCTCTTTAAAAATGCATTTTGCCCCTGAGTACAATCAAATAGATTTTCTCCAAAGACCATTATGGACTATAAGCATCAATATTTTTACAACCAGATGACATACACACAGATAGATAGGACAAGGGCTTTTTAAAACAAAGAACGTACTACAGCAGAATATTCAATATATGCACATGGACATATATGTATACATTATCTCCATGTAACAATTTGCAGCACAATACTGTGCATGTACATTCAGAACAAAGTCCCAGAGAGTTCAGTATCACTTATGCCCAGGTCTCATAGCCAGACATGCAAACGCCTGCACATGCACAGACTCACATGAACTCACACACACACACATATTGTACATATATATATAGTTGTATCTTTAGCTTTAAGGCTAGGTCACATTTATTTACCATCATAATGATTATCATTTTGTTAGGATGGGGTGGGGGGAGTGTGGAGGAAGATCAATTGAATATTGCAAGAGATGCCTTTCAGTAGGATCCATGTCACTCAGCTTTTGCTCTTATTTCAGCATTTCACAGAGCATAGCCCTTTATTTTCTGAAGTAGGACTGGGTGGAAAGCATTCACTTAGTAAAGGAGTACACTCAAATATATCAGTTAATTGGGACTTAAGCTGCACCCAATGCCACTAGTTACTGAGAATCACACTTTCTTTATTTCCATAGTCCATCCCCTTCATCTTCATAGCTGCATCTTGGACTCTGTTTCTGGGTCATGACAGACTCACAGCATGGTGGATCAGGAAAGTAGGATGTTGTGAATTAGGGACACCTCCCCTTTCCCAATATCACTTTTAAAATCAATTATAAGCTACATATAGAATCAATAAAAAGAAAAAAAAGAATAACAGAAATCAAGTCTTCAAACAATTGTGCAATGCACAAATGATCACTAGAGTTGACATGCACAACACAGGTGCTTCATTAGGTGGTGAGGGATACAGTACATGTCCCTGCTTGTTGTAGACAATATATCCATATCAATGCAAAGGAGAGTAAGTGAAGATGAAAAGATATAAAAGAAGGGAAGAGGAAATCTGACTTACATATAACTTCCATATTTGTCATGCCCTATTCCAGAGCTTTCCAAACTGCGTATCGCGGCACGTTAATGTGTCAGCTGCAATGTGTAGGTGTGTCGCATGAACATTCCCCACGCTCCTCCCAGGGCTGGAAAGGGTTCATTAAACCTCCGGTTTGCTATTAAAACTGAATTACTATGTCGCAAAATGATGAATGTCTAAAAAGTGTGTCACCAGCATGAAAAGTTTGGAAAGCTCTGCCCTATCCCATCTAAAATGCAGGCTAGTTGTATGGCAACTTCTCTCTGAAGCTAACTGAATTAATGTAGTTTGCCTGTTCACCATATAAAGATCGTTATCTTAACTCCCTAGCCAAGCTACAATTTACAATCATGATTAGGGAAAGCAAGTAAAGTCAGGAAGATGCGAGTGGCTACCAAATGTGTGTCTCTGTTTTAGAGTTGGGGTTTTCTGTTTTGCTTTCTTTGTTATTAGATTGTTTAATGTGAAATGCTACTGAGATGGCAACGACTTTTGTCATGCATATTGGAGAATAAAATTAATTGACTGCACAATTAAAGGGCACTGGCTGAGCACACACTGAGGCATAAGCACTAGAGCCATAAAGCTGGGTCATCAAACCCATCAATTAAACCAGTAGTGCTATTTGTGAGCATAGCTACTGGTGAGATTGCCTGGGGAGCAATCTCAAGGCAAGGACAAGGCCTCTTATGCTATCTATTAAATATATATGACAGGCATATAGGGTGTTATGCGGGCATGCCTGGAATCTTATATGGTTTTGCCTTAAATGTACATACATATGCCCTAAGTGAATAATCATTATTAAGCATAGTTCTTGGAATTCTCCACAGATGCAGAAAGGAACTGTTCAAAAATTCCTTGATGTCCATAGCGTCCAGTAAACCATTAAGTGCCTTTACGATATGTATCAGGAAGAGAAATAGATTCAGCAGGGAGTATATGTTAATATGCTGGGGAAGCATACGCAAGAAAAGTCATATAAAACAAAAGTACCATAACTAAGCCAATGTAGTCTGCTGATAGTGGACTATACCCTGAATTTGACAGGCTTTATTCAAATTGTATTTTTGTTTTTTGTTTCAAAGGAACTAATTTTCATATACAAAACTTGCCGATTTTAAAAAATATAATCTATATTTCTGTACATGCAGGACACCTAATGTAGCAGAATCACATACCTGGAAGAATCATAAGGCTGGAAAACCTATAGAGATTTAACAATATTGATCCCTGGTCTAACACAAAACCATTCATAAGGTAAACCTCTTCATTCAGAACTAATTCCCTATACAGATAGATTTGTTGATTTATTAACTGATGGGGCTTTTGAAGCAATGCGTGTCAGTAAAATACTTCAAACACTCAAGCAACAAAGACAACAAACACACTAGAGGAAAGGCAGTCTAGAATTTTAGGTCTGATATCTGTGGTAAGTGAACACTCATCTGAGGTCTATTTCAACTATAGCACCATTCAGTCCTCCCACAATGGCTGAATGTGTGCATCCCTATGGTTAAAGAAGCTTAACTATACTTAAGACTTATGTCTGAACTGACAGACCAGGACATCTAATGGGCTAAGAAGCAAAAATCAAAAGCTACGGTATGAGGTGAGCTTACAAACCAGAGAATGTACTAACTATGGTTTGTTGTGGTGTCCGAATTGACAAAGCAGAATTATCTGAACCACAGAAGTAAGAGTTCTGAAAGATGAAAGTAGATGGGAAAAGCAGCTTCACGCTATGGTTTACCTTAGATTATGGTTTTGGTTCTAAACTATGGTTAAGAATCTGGTTGGTGTGATATTTGAAGTGAGTCTCCTTCCTAATATTTAAATCTGCCCTACATTTCAAGTATTTCTTACTCTGGAGATGTCATGTTGAATTCTATGAATACAGATCAGGATTATTTAGGGTTGCTGTCCAGAAGGTGGGAGGGTTAGCTGGGATTAAGTAGCCATTGCTCATTTGAATATACAGGCATTCATTTATACAAGCACTTGTATTTAAAACCAGCTCTTGGCTTCCACAAATATAGAATTGAGGGATGAGAGATGATACCATCTGGGACACAAAAATACCAGCTGTGCCAATTTAGAAAAGGCCAGGTGGCAAACATAGGATTATACCAGAGTAAGAGGTTTGTGGGTTACAGTCAGACTATAATCCTATCCCACTGACCCAGTTGTTGCAGAATCAAGGATATTTTGCACATTCAGCATTGTGCAGACTTACATCCACACCTGAAAACACAGCAGTTTATACATATGGGCTTAATTTACGGCTATTTTCTAGCTCAGTTTCTGAATTTGACCTACTTATTAAGTAAGAAGGGCCAAGATCATTATCACAGAAAACCACAGTTTACAGTAATTGAGAAGAACAGAAAGTGATCAGTAAGTACAGAGCTGTAACAGAGTCATAAGTCTGGATACAGGCCCTGTTAAACTTGTTGCAACACTGCCAACCTATTCAGGCCAAAAAAGCATCAATGGAGGCCTTACATATGCCTTTTTCTGAACCCATAATTTCAAGAGCATTATTCTGACCAGGGACAGAAAATAGACTTTACAACAGAAATTAGACTCTAAAACACAGTAAGTGTTAACTCTGGGCCATTTCACATTTATGTGCCCATTACGCACATTTATGGCAGCCTTTGTAGTACTTGTAGCCAACCTCCACTTACTCATAGAAATATCCCATTCATTTATTTCAGAAACTCTAGGGGACATTCCCTGGACACACTGTCACTGATTTGAAAGCTGCCATCTTCTAAAAATGATATTTCAAAAGGAAAATTCCAGTGAAATAGCTCAATTAGAACTAATACCAAGGTTCGATTTTATTTGTTTGGGCATCAAGACAAATAATGGTTTTCCTGTTCCACTACGGGAAACTGTATTTTCTACATTCCATTGCCATTTAAATCCACTGTTTACTTTCTCTCATCTATACCTCCCAACAACACTTCGTGCATCTAATAAGGGGACTCTAGTCCATCGAATCTTATGGCACAATCAACTTGTCATTCTTTAAGTCTTGTTTTGTCAAGATAGTCATTACCAGTAGTTGTTGTTTTTTAACAGTCTTGTCCACAAACTGCCTCCAATGCATGCTTAACATTCCAGATGAGTTAATCACAGAAACACAGAATTGTAGAGTTGGAAGAGATCCCATGGGTCATCTAGTCCACCCCCTGCAATGCAGGAACCTCAGCTAAAGCATCCATGACAGATGGCCATCCAACCTCTGCTTGAAAACCTCCAAGGAAGGAGAGCTCACAACCTCCTGAAGGAGTCCTTTCCACTACTGAATAGTTCTTACCATCAGAAAGTTCTTCCTGGTGTTTAGTCGGAATCTTCTTTCTCTTAACTTGGTTTGAGTCCTACCCTCTGGAGCAGGAGAAAACAAGCTTGCTACATCCTCTGTATGACAGCCCTTTAGATTTTTGAAAGTGGCTATCATATCTCCTCTCAGTCTCCTCTTTTCCAGGCTAAACATACCCAGCTTTTTCAACTGTTCCTCATAAGGCTTGGTTTCCAGAACCTTGATCATCTTAGGCCCTCCTCTGCACATGTTCCAAATTGTTGATATCCTTCTTAAATTTGGGCACCCAAAACTGGACACAGTATTCCAGTTGTGATCTGACCAAGGCAGAACAGAGCAGTACTATTATTTCCCTTGATCAGGACACTATACTTCTGTTGATGTAGTCTAACAGAGCATTATCTTTTTTTCTTCTTTTTTGCTGCTGTATCATACTGTTGACTCATGTTAAGCTTGTGGTCTACTAAGTTCCCTATATCCTTTTCAAATGTACTACTGGCAAGACATGTGCCCCCCATCTTATAATGTTGCAGCTGGCTATTTCTATCTAAGTGCAAAATCTTACATTTGTCCCTATCGAAATTGGTTTTCTTAGTTTTGACCAAGGGCGGGGTATAAATAATAAATTATTGTTATTATTATACCTGGCTCCCTGTCCAGTGCCTACCTTTCTTTGCCTCCCCCAGACTACCTATATGTCAGTTACCAACATTCTGCCTACCTGCCTTGCACATGGCTATGCTTCAGACAACTTGTCCTTAAACACATCAGTTTTGCTTCATCCTAATAACATGAGGTGTGTGGTTAGGAAACTGGGTAATTAAAAGCATGTTTATACAAAACATGTTCATACAAAGTCAGGGGTAGCTCTCCAGATGTTGTGGACTGCATCTCCCATCAGCCCCAGCCAGGATGCCCAATAGCTAGGGATGGCAGCAGCTGTAGTCCACAACATCTGGATGGCACCATGTTGGCTAACTGTCCACTAAGAAATGTGCTTTGGACTGCAGCCATTGAGGCAGCAAAGTTCCATTTTAATTTAAATCATTTTATGAAAAGGTAGTCATTGTTACATGTAAGCTCAAATACATCCATTGCAGAAAAGATCTCCATACTTGGTAGTGAGCCACATTTAATCATTTCATTTTCTAACTAAATTTAAAACAGACTCCCTAAGCAATAAAAAAAGACAGACTTGATTGTTTGGAATTTTAGCATGTGGCTGACATCCCAAATATGTAGGAATGGTCATGTTCACCACTGTTGGTCTAGTCTATTTGGCAGGAAAGCTGCTGTTCCACGTTCCACATGCCACAGAGTATTCAGCGTTACCACCTCACATTTCTGTTCATCGCTTACGTATAAATATATTCCCTATAGGAAGAAATCCTCAAATGATTAGTTGTTTTCAATTCTCAGTCATAGACTCAGAAAGTACTGTAATCCCAGTTCTGCTGTATGAACTGGCGATCAAAAAATGTGAATAATACATAGCTGCTTGCTGACTGAACCCCTATTTTTTTCAGGCTTCTGTTTTCCAAACTCTGGGTCAATTAGGACTGCTTCATACAACTATTTTTAATAAAGTGTAATAATTACCATATGGTGCCCATTCTGCTTATCCAAAGTTTGTGCTGTAAAGTGATCTAGTTAAAAAGTGCCTTCTCGTGATAAAATGACAAATATCACAACCCTGACTTCCAGTAGCAGAGATCCAGTAGCAGTGGACAGAGAGGAGGGGGCAGTGGTGCTTATGCTTAGAAGGAACTAGGCTCAAGACTCACAACTGAGTCTAAACCCAACACCCAGGAATCCACTGAGCTTCAGCTCTCAAGTCTGGACCCCCAGAGACTGCAGTCATCAAGTCTGGATCCATCAACAAGTGGCATCCTCACCCCCACATCCACTCCCTCTGCAGAGGCAGCTTGCCAGGCCAGGCAGTGTGCAACACCATGGAATGCTATAGTCCAGGCCAGAAAGCTGCCCCTTTAAGGTTCTGCTTAAACTTTCTTCTCAATGAATAGGTGAGCTTGTGCTACCTCAGATGGCAGAATATTATTGGGGGGGGGGAATACTTTTTTTCCAAACCAAAATAAAAAAACTAACAAAAGATTTTTTAAAAACCTAACATGTCTGAGGAAAGGGATCTAACCCAGCCCTCCCTCTGCTATGCTAGCTTTTTTATGTGCAGGTAATATTTTAATAAGGGACACAGGTGGTGCTGTGGGTTAAACCACAGAGCCTAGGGCTTGTCGATCAGAAGGTCGGCGGTTCGAATCCCCGCGATGGGGTGAGCTCCCGTTGCTCGGTCCCTGCTCCTGCCAACCTACCAGTTTGAAAGCACATCAAAGTGCAACTAGATAAATAGGTATCACTCCAGCAGGAAACGGCGTTTCCGTGCGCTGCTCTGGTTCACCAGAAGCGGCTTAGTCATGCTGGCCACATGACCCAGAAGCTGTACGCCAGCTCCCTCGGCCAATAAAGCGAGATGAGCACCGCAACCCCAGAGTCGGCCATGACTGGACCTAATGGTCAGGGGTCCCTTTACCTTTACCTAATATTTTTATGGAGAATCACTGACTCAAGTGTCCACTTGCTGTCTGAAGTGGAAGTTTCCAGACACAGGTATACTATCTCAGCAAGTATTACATTTCCATCCAGCTAGTTCCTGAAGTTGCTTTCACTCAACAACCAGGTCCAATTCATTCCCAAGGTCTAGGGTGGGGATGAGAAGCGATCATGAGAACAGAAATTGGCAAGAGGGCATGTTGGGGAGTTGAGGTTGCCCATTAACTCCCAACTCCCTTTTCGAAGCAGCCCTGGCCAAGACCAGCTGATTACAAAGGGCTTATGCAAATTGACCTCTTGGATAATGAGATCAGTAAAAACTGTACAGAGAACAGAATGATTCAATACTGAAACTTTTTTTTTAGGGTTGGTTTGGAAAAGAGAAAGTAGCTGTGCTCTATGAATGTGGCCCACTTTGAACTGAATTTTCACAGAATGTGGTTATTTGGAAACAGATGCCTATCAGTGCAACAAATAAACAAACAAATTTCATACCAAGCATGCAGACGGGAAATATGAAAGGCAGGCAGGCTCCACAAAAGCTGATGTCAGAAAGTCACGATCCTTTTTCGTGCCAGAAAATAACTTTTGACAAGACTATTATACCAGCCAGCATTAAGGATAAAGCAAAAGGAAGTCATTTGATAACCGCATAATAAAAGTGTCTCTATTAACACAGGGTCACAACCCTGATGTAGCCTATCTTTTGTGCGTTCTTCTGCCTGGAGGACTCAAATTTGCCAACAGCTGTTCCAAAAGCCGCACAAGGGTTAAAGGGGGCCAAAGACACTGCAATAAAAGAGAGTTAACCATTTTGATTTAATTTGCAACTTGCAGAAGCAGTGCTTTCGGCAATAACACAGTGTTCTGGATACCTCCTGTGTAGCTGCTAAAAGAAAACATGAAGAGACAATCTATGCCACAACGATCACGACATTCTGTTTTGATACGGATCAGGTTTCTCCTCTGCAAACAGAAGAAGGCATCCAATGGATTGCAGACATGTTTTAAGGACTTCACGCCTCTGCCTGCCTAGTATCAGAATTTTATTCTTACGATCCTAACAAGATGTGGCGACAGCTACTTCCTTAGACAGCTTTTTAAAAGGATTAACCAGGGTGGGCAGCCCACACCCCATGGCCTAATTTCACGTGGGTTGCAATGACTGGGTGGCAGGGGAAACAGGGGGAAAGGGGCTGGTAGAAAGATATAGAAGGTGTCCACTTTCAGCTCAGAAAACCACCCCCACTGCCAGTATGCTAGCCTGGCACTTTGTCCCTAAAGGAGTGCATCCCTTAACAGAAAAAAGAAGTTGCCCACTCATGGGTTAGATAAGCCATACAATAAGTTGTATTGACTGATAGAATGAAATGAAATCAATAACTGTGTGTTCTTACACACCTGTACATACTCAGAAGTAACCCAACTGATTCCAGCAGGGCTGGCTCCCAGATAAGTAAGTATGCTTAGAATTGTAGATTTACTTTTTCTAATAAGATCAGATCAGTTCAAATCCTAGAAGGCGATGGCCTAAAATATGAAGAGAACAGTACAACCTGAAAGCATTGTACTAGCCTTCCATACTAATGTTGTTGTTGTTTTAAAAGGAATGGTTTCCTAAGAAAAACTAGAGATCCTGTTATTTATACACCATGTTTTCCATATGTGCATGTCAAAAGGAAAGCCCTTACTCAGAAAATCAGACCACTGTGAGGTTCATGTGGTGTTTTAACTATTAATCCCGACACTCTTTCTAGCCAATAAAGGCATTTCCCCCCCCCATCTTGGGGAGGGATGGGTGGGTGTTTCTCATGTCCCAGCTCCTGACAATTTATTATTTTCTATATAAACTGTACAACCAAGTCCAAGCATTCCATGTAATAAAGAGATACAGCTTTCCTGGACCATCTTTTGGCTCCACCTTACAAAAGAACATTACAGCCTCCCACCAAGAGTACATAATTGTTCCCACTTAAACAGCAACATGTGCTTCAAGATCTTGATGATAAATAACTGAAAGAGGAAATAGCCTTTTTATCGTGTGTGGGAAAGCATCCAACCACCAAATAATGTTTTTTTAAAAAAATCTGGCGAAGTAAAAGAAGAAGAAAATGGTGGGATGCAGTTGAGGTCCTTGTTCTCACAGAAAGTAGTTTGATCTAGCAAAAGAGACTGCTAGCTGCAGCCTACACCCACCCACCCCCACCCACACCCACACCACCTTCCACTTTGTTCTGGAGGGTCCCCCAACTCTCTGATTTTAGGTGATTTTAGGGGGAAGGTGGAAATAGGCAGAGATCTCATTCTCTCTCCTGTTAGCTTTCACTTCCACTCCAGCAGCAGCCATTCTGTGCGTGCAACAGTGCCAGATTCCACCCAGATCATTTCATAAGAGAATTATTTTGGTTCCCATTTTCGGCAGTGTATACGTGCTGCAAAGCACAGTGACTCGGCACCTCTGTATATATCTCATGTATTTGCTGGGACCTCGTTCAGCATCAAGGCCAGCTAACCTGGACCAGGACCAGCGACCTGTGTCAATCTATGTGATGCCAATAATAGCAGAACGGTGTTATTGAGGGCATGATTGTCCTTGTCCCCAAGCATGTATCTGGCTATGGGTTACACTACTGCTGTATCCAAGGGTGTCATTCCGCCTCTCCTTGAAAAAGGGGCCAGCTTATGGTAGAAGGGCATGGTTTTCTTCCTGAGTCTGAATCAGCTGCTGCTGACGTACAGGGTTCAAGAAGACATAGGGAGGGAACTGCAGGTGGTTTGAAACAGAATTCAATTTTAAAGATGTAAATTAGTCTTGTTAATCATTTTCCATATAAAAGTAATGTTTTTACTGCCCGTACTGGGATCTAATATATATAGGGAACCAACCAGCCAGAGCTGGGCTATGGATAGATTAGACTGCTGAGCCAGCCCTGTTTAAGGAACTGGCAGTGAGAGCTCATTGTGGATTTTACGTTTTCCATCCATTCCTTTCTCTATGCTGTGGCAGTCTTCAGAGAGGAAGTAACAGTTGTAACCAAGGTTTGTCAACTGAGACATCACACCAAACATGCTTTTTATTCTGGTGTTCCAGCCAGTCACAAGCTACTGTTTGTCACCCTGGATATACTGCCAAGCTTAATAAACTAAGGTTTGGCATGATACATTATTTTAGCCTGCAGGAATGTGACCAGAAGATGTAGGACAATTTGAGGCAAAACAGACAGCAGTGGGACTTTTTTCAAAATAGGAGCAATGACATCATCTGCTAGAGTGCCAGTGGCGGACCTTGGCAACCAAATGAGCTGATAATAAGGCTTT